CTTCTCTGCTGATCTGTTTAAGAAGGAGAGGAGGAATATAAAAGTGATTATCATGAATGAAAAAATCCACTGAAAGCTGTGAATTATGCAGTTTATCACCGTTGGCTCAGGCTGTTTCTAGGCTGCATTCCTCTGGAAGCTGGGAGAATATTTTACATATCTGCCTTCTTTCTGGGCTCATTTCTAAGTATTCACAATTGGCCATTGCAAGAAATAAGATACAAAGCTAGACTGTCCTTTGTTCTGATCTAATAGGGTTCATTGTTGTGCTCTTAAATCAAGAGGAGGATCATATAAGCAATGTTATGTGATAAAAATGAAGTTATCTGTCAGTGTTTTTCTTCATTTATGTTTGAATTCCTGTGGTTACTGTCATGGTCGCTGTTTGTCTTTGCTTATCCCAAGACTTCAGTTTTCAGGTTGTCATTCTTAGCATGTATTCAAATCTCTGTCGCCACATTCAGTCCACTACATGCTCAAAAGCCGAAATCTCTTGCTGCCAAGAAATATTTAAGATAACACAAACCAAAACTCTCGTTCCCCTGACAAAGTTACCAAGAGACAGTTGACAGCTGAATGTTAGTATGAAAAGTACATGATGGTCAACTCAGTTATCAATTGCGACTAAATTTGATTTTGTCAAAACAAAATCTGAGAGTATATACCTTAAAGATTAAAAACCAGTTCAGCATCTCTTTTACATACACTGTGGAAACAAAGAGAATGACTTTCAAAATTAATGAATTTTCTCTCACTCTTTCCAGGATCCCCAGTGTGTATGGACTACATATATCTAGCTGCTAGGACATCTTCTCCCAAATCCCATCACACCCTACTGGAGAAGGATCATGGTCAACAAACAGTGAACTCAGATGATTTGCTGGCAGTTGCTTGCTTGATAACCTTTATGAGTGGACCTACAATGCTGAAAAATTGGTGTCGGAATCCAGGAAACATCTGAAGTATTTTCAAGGAAAAAGTTTGAATCAACATCTGTGTCTCATGAAGGCAAACAGATAAAAATTAAACTTCAAATATATGCTGTTCCTCAAAGCATACTTAGATAAGTACAGTTCACGTCTCTTGTCTGAATAGGACATTCAGGTCATGTAATACTTTTAAGATAATACTTTCTAATAGAAATCTATATATTCAAACTCCTGTTTAATAGTGCAGCTTTAATTTTGCACTAACCATTTTTTGCCGGGAATTTAATAGTCTTAATACAACACATTGAGCAGCATTTATGTTTCATCAGCACTAGTCAGATATTGTAGGCTAGGCCCTCCTCACAAACCAGGAAAATGGTGAGGTTTTTTTGTTTCTCCTAACATTCGAATGAACATAAATCCTTGAGTTAAACGTGTATATTTTTTTTCCAGTGAAATGCTGGATCTGTACAAATGAAAGAAATGTAGTAGTTTTGTTTCACATGTTCACATAAGGAGAATAATTCACAGCAGCAAGTTGCATAAAGAACCTCAGAATTTCATGTTCATGTTTGCTGACTTTCTTTGTTGATTATATTTCGGTGACTGTTTTGGTTGGATAGGGTCATATGTCTTTTCTTCATTGAATTTCTCTCAGGGAAACTAGTGTCCTTGAGCAGCTGCTCTACCTGCCAGGTGGAGCAGAGAAAATATCTATTTTGAGGTGCAGAAGCAGCTGGGTTTCTTTAGTAGGTGCTGAAGGGAATCTCATTCAGGGCCTAATGAGCTTACACAAAATTCTGGTCCTTTGTGTCATTATTATTTAATTCATCCCTTTTTCAGTCATGGTCTTTGTCAAAGTGAGCATTATTAACATGCTAAATTTCAAATATTTCATCTCTTTTAGCTACCTATGTGGAAAAGGTGTGACAGTAATTTTCACTGCTGGGTTTGGGGATTGTTGCATAAGAATATTTGTTTTCATTTTCAGCTAACTACAAAAAAATAGATTAGTACACTTCCTCTAGACTAAAAAAAGAAAAAAAAAACCACAAAGTAAAAAGAAATCTTTATGTAAATATAACTGGTAAGGAAAATTATCCTAAGATGAAAATACACAAAGTTTAGTAGTTCAGGTTTGTTTTTGAAAAATTCAAGCATAAAACATCTCTATTTTGAAATTATGCCTGCTGTTTTATGTTCCATACACAATATTTGATGCCATTTTTCATTTGTATGTGATAGATATATGCTATAAGTCAAATTAATAATTCTGACTAAATGAAATATAAATTGTCAATTTCAAAGTTTTCTTTTTACCTCAAAACACAATCTAATCAACAATTGCCTGATATTGCTATGTTCCATAGCAAAGACGGAAATGACAACATTAGAAATTGTATATGCTATACAAAAAGGAACTTCTAGTTTAATCTCCCTCACACCCCTTCTCCCCAAGTCACAATGACATTAGGTTGCATAACTTTGACCTAGATCTTGACTGGAAGGTATTCCTATCACAACAGAGATCAGAAAGATTATGCAGCATGGGCTAAGAATATTCTCTTAATTTTTTCCTCATTTTTTATATACATACAAGAGCCTATTTTCTGCAAAGACTACTAACCCTTTGCTTCAGTGAATACTAAATTATCTTCCCCTTTCAAAAGAAAAAAGTTCTACTCTAGAACAAGAATATTTAAGGTAAAAACTCCTTCAAACAGGAGACAGTAGTGAAAATAATTGATTTTTTTGACATTTCATTTAGCAATTGCATTGATGTCTTTGTATAGTACTTTGTTGATAGTCTGACATGATATCTTGTGTTAAAATCACAAATTTTATCCTGTCTGGCTTATTCTTCATCATAGTTTATGTTAGTCAAGTTAGAAAGGGTGACAGTATTGCTAGGTGCCTATCCTTAGCTCAATCAAGTAAAACAAGGAGCCGAGTGTGATTTGATTCAGGCTTATCACTGTAAGGCACAAGTTTTTTTGCTATTCTCCCAATGAATAGGGGTCTCATTGACTGAGAGACAGCTAATAGGAAATAACTAGACCTTTGCACATCTGATGTTTAATTTATTTCTGAAGACAGAAATGCAGAGCCTAGAAGACTAGAGTAGGAAGAGAAGATAGCTTTTGTTATAAATGGATTTATTAACATATGACTTGAACAGTGCAACCTCCAACAAGGAGCTGTAAAAGCATTAGAAGCAGTTGCCACCTCAGGAGGCTATAGCAAGTGCTCTTAAAATGTGATCCATGAACCATCTAAAAACTGTCATGTAGCATTACCTGGTAATGACTTCTTAGCCTTACCTTTGGCTAGAATTCAGTAAAAGCACATTAAGATAACACGATTATAAAGCATTTAATACATAAGTGATTTTGGTGGTTCTGCAGTTATATGTCATCATAAACAGGAAGTCCAGTCAAACAGGGGGAAGGTAGCTCCACAAGAAAATATCTTTCTATATGAAAATTATCAGACAAATTTGAGACTCCAAATGAGAGTGTATGCTAAGTCTACACATATGGGGCATACCTGTCAAATTGTTTATAAGGTAATATAAGAATGTAAAAAATAATTGTCAAGCCTTGGCACACAGATGCAAGCACTGAATCAGACCTGTTTGAAGCCCACAAAAATAACTTAAGTAAAATTTTCATCTCATTATTCAAGACAGAGTGTCTGATTGTAGGTCTGTTTTCAAATGCATAATGTATGTCCTAATTCTGCCAAATGCTTATCGAACAGTATGCTCTCTTAAATTTTATGATTTTCCTTATCAAGCTTGCAAAAGAAAAAAAATTCATATAGAACAGTATTAGCTAATCAGATAAACAATATTATTATTCCTAAAATAACACTATTTTCTATTTCATTTTAATCCAAGTAGTAGTAACAGCTCTGAAAAAGAAACGAATTCTTACATTCATCATACATCTTTCTCAATATTTATTTGTTTAACTAGATAATTTTTATAGCACTATTATGAAAAATATTTATGCAAACTTTTAGATCCTGTCAGTTTATTTACTTCTGTTTCATAGCAAAATTTATTTCTTGCCCAGCCATGTGTAAAGAGTTCCATCTTTAGTGCTAAGATTTCCATCCTTGACTGCCTGTTTGTCACTTTTTCATAGAATCACCTCCGTGCCTTCACTCACATGGCTTCTTATGCATGGTATTTGATCCCTGAGCTCATATGTAAGGCCTCTATTCTGAACATATTTCAGGCCTCCTAAGGATCCATTTCTTTGATGTCATGGGCTTGTCAGTCTAGCAGGCTTATATTTCTTTTTAATCCCATTCCTTTTTTGTAATTTTTTCCATCACTTCTTCTATGTCCTTAGAATGTAAATGCCCTCACAATAAATGTTCTTACAAGCACAAAGAAGATGCCTTGCACACTGTGAGTGCAACTATAAGAAATACTAACAACAATCTACATGACATGTAATAGAGTCATTATGAGGATGCTGTGGCTTCTCATTTTGGAGCAAACTATTATCATCTTACCCTGCATCCTGTAAAAGTGGGAAATTCAGAGGAAGGAAAAGAACATAAATATTTTCTGGATGAGATATAACCTAACTGTGCAAGATGCTCAGTGCTAATTAGGACTTCCACCTCGGCGTAATAGGAAAAGAAAGGGGAATTTGGCCAGATAAGCTGAAAATCAATACATCTAAATTCTAGATAACATGACGGGGAAAAAAAAAGTATTATATCCCTCGCATTTTCTTTAGCTTCTTTATATGTCATGCAAGACTTGGATAGGATTGATAATTGCCATGCTGCTTTGCCTAACTGAGCAATTTTCCTTTCCATGCAGGGACTTAAAGAATTCTTCTATAACAGAGAAACTCTTTGGCATCTGCACACAGCTGCCTTGCTCTTTATGACAAAATTGCTTTGGCAAGTAAACACTTGAGCCCATCCTGACATTTTGGTTTTGCTTTTGAAGCAGTTTGCGAGTGAGACTTTCTGAAGTAACCGTACAGGAGGTGATGGTAGATAGTTGTTTCACTATCATTCTCCTGATTGAGGTATTTTCTTTCATAGGTGAGCTGAAACTTCTGAGAAGATGTACTTGGAGACTCCGACAGCAGTGTAAGTCTCTACAGGGCATGAGGCAGCAGAGCCTTGTTCAGTGCAGAGCTGCTCTTTGCTGTACAGGAATGATATTGATATGCATTTGAAACTTGAAATTTATGCTATAAATGGAAAAAACTTTGTAGTGTTGCCATCTCTTGGTTCTGTATGGCTACATATTAATTTTCCCATATTTTTGGACTGATTAGATGTATGGGCTGATTTTTAATTTATTGCATGATTTGTGACCGAGCAATTCCTGAAACTCCTGAGAATATATTCTTGTTTCAGATTTGCACTGTCATTGCCTATATCAAAATTATTTTTTGAATCTTCATATAACACTTTTAATTAAGGTGTTATTTTTTGGTCTCCTTACAAGCCTGTTTCTTCTTTGCATGTTAAACAGAAATTATTTTAAAACATTCAGACTCTCTGTAGCTCTTAGATTATTATAACACCATCTGCATCAGAATTTGATAGTAGCTGTAATTTCCCAAGATGAATGTGGCTTGCTGTAGCTAAAACTTATAACTATATGGTTCAAATGCAGCAAATTATATGCATGCTTTGTAATGAACATACTCCTGTGAACATAGGTTTCTCTGTCTTTTTTTTTTTTTCTGGCATGCAGAAAAGCTGCACAACAGCTTGCTTTATAGTTGTCAGATTTTGCACTCCTATTTTCAGTGTTAGTCTCTAGACTTCCATCAGCTGTACAGTCACAGAGGTCAGAAAGCTTGTGACTGAAGAATAATGAAATGTTTGTTGAAGAGCCTCTTTATTCAATTTAACTCCATAAACACAGACAACAAATGAACAGAGCTGTTTTAGATCCGAATTAACTGTAAGTGATCAAAAGGATGTGCAAATGAGCTGAAGTACTCTCAGGTGATTTCAGAATGAAGGTCTTCCCTATTTATAAAGCATGGTTCTCTTTTAACTAGCATATACATACCTCTCAATTGCGTTATTAAAAAGCAGTAATAACTTCAGACGAAAACATCACTTTCCAAATGTGTTTTGGAAGTGATATTGCCAAATGACATGTGAATCATATTTGATTTCAGTTTTGGGATATTGCATTTGGTTTTGTCAGGTCACAGTATTTAATTTGTGAATATCATTTATAAAAGAATGCAACAATTCTAAACTCTTGTAATGCAAGTGCAATAGCTTTATCCTTTTCAAGTATATCATACACAATTTGTAGATAAAGAATAGTTGAGATGAAAGGACCTATATACAAAAATAAAACTAAAATAATGGGAATCAATGTTGGCTCTTACCTCTCTAATTTTCTTATTCTCTGAAAACCACAAGAAAATCTTGTTACAGTGGATTTTAAATTTTCACCCAGTGGCGTCCTGCTGTACTGTGCTATTTCCTATATAACGTGACTGAAATTATGGATCTTGAACACTATTGTTTACATTGGGTGTCACTTTTAACAATGCATTTGATTGTGCAAGTAACATTACATAGATTATACTTCTGGAGCATGTGACTTCTATTTCTAAAAATGAGGCTAACAGAATTCTGATAAACAGGCATTTTAACTCTTTTAAAAATCTTGACATTTTCAGACATTCACAAAAATCTTGCCAATGTGTCAGGATTACATGAGCACTCAATATGGTTCTGAAAGCACAATGCTTTAAAATTAGTTGTCTATTCACAAAAATAACTAACGTCCTTTAGTGTTTGTTTACTTGGACAAGGAGGGGTAATATGCATATTTTGTTTAGACTAGAAAGTAACATACTGTTCTTTTAATTTAAGAAATAGATTTTTGTATTTATAATAAAGCAACGTGTAGTGACACTTTTGGTAATTAGTTTCATTGACTTTTTTTCCTGTCTTATCTAAATTACTTCTACAAATATGTATCATTACCTCCCAGAAGATTGTCTCAGGAGAGTTTGCATCTTTTTTCAAGTTCATTAACTGTTCTCATGATTACTACCTGAAATGCTTGAATGATCAAATCTCATTTTCTTAAACCCTATAACTTACATCTGTAAACTCATCTTTTAGAGTGGTCTCTTGTATGTATGAGACATCGTTAGCACTCCTCCACACACTTATGGGAATGATGGAAGGAAGGCTTATATCTTAAAGATTATACTTTCTACCGTAGGAGGAAAAGCCAGAATAGGCAGTTTTGAAACAGAACATAGTTCTTCATCTTTCTCTGTTTTTCCAGTTATGTGTTCATGAATTATATCATACTGTGATGACCAGAGACATACACTGCTGATACTAGATTTGGGCATAGAATATCTGGCCAAGGAACAAATGGTCCTACATGCTGCCAATGAACTGGGTACTCTTTATTATTTATAGATGTAGCATTATTTGTTTTAAATATGTGATATTTTTCTAGATTATATATAGCATCTATTTTTATTGGCATAACTAAAAATATCAATGATTTTACTTTTCGAATATTAGATATGTTGAGCAGGATTTTTTCATATTTTATTTAAAAGGTAAGATTTTTTTTACTCCTTTTTTCTTTTCCCTGTTTAATATCACACTTCACAGCTTTCTCCTTCCCATGCCAAAATCTCCTGCATTCCAATTTTCTGTGCTTAGTTTGAAAGTGTTTCAATTCACCTAGGGTTCACTTGCTGTCCTCTATACCAAATGTTGGAACACATAGTGTATCATAGGTGTATCTCTGCAGAGTGTTAATAGCTATATACCAAGTTGTTAACTCTTAGCATTTTATTTTAAACTCAAATGCAGGAGGAATATGGTTCTAAAAGGAAGCAAGTGACTACAAGTAGCTATTGTGATTGTGTTTATGCAGTATCTGTGCTACAAGGAAATAAAGAAGAATTTTAAAATAGGTAATAATTTTATGTTTGACTGCCTTCATCATATTGAAAATAAAAGAGTAGGATTGCATTAGAGTATAATATCTTGGCCTTTTCTGTGGGAATGACTATTGTCAACTAATGGAAGAGATGTTAAACCTAACTATTTCATGAGGAATTATTACCATTTTAAAATATTTTGTCCAGTGAGTAGCTAGCAGCACATTTGTATGTAGTTATCTTTATCTTTTTTCTGTCACCTTTTAAATTTTTTTAATTGCCAGTTAGTCTTCTAAAATTATTTTATGCATTTATTAGAGAGAAATAAAAATTTCCGCTGTTTTTTTCCTAGTAACATTGTAGAGTCAGTTGTCTATACCATTTATAAAGAAGACTATTTTTAGGAAAAATATAAAATTTTAATCATCAGAAGTCAAAATTCTATACATTTGTATTCTTGCAATGTAAATTTTCATTAACATAACCCAGTTCAATACTCTTAGAAGCCAGTAATCAGAAGTTAAATTGAGTCAAATGTTTGGTTTGATATGACGATGTAGTAATATATCTCTGCAGTATGTTCAAACGAAAAAAATAACATGATAATTCGTTTTTTAGATCATTAAATAGTCAATTTAAACTAACTACTATACATTTTAGTTTATTTTCAAATGCAGCATATGCCTACACATACAGTTATCAAAACTTTATTTTAGAGAAGCCGTGTAGGTTAGTTAATGTGCTCAGTGGATGCCAGGCTGCATGTTACACCTGGGAATGATACTTTAAGGAAAAGTTGAGACACAATTTATATGTGGGAACAATAGAATGACTCAAAGCTAATTAATAGCTTTGAAATTTATAGGTAAGCTTTTATCTATAGAAAACTTAGAGTAGGCAAGTATGTTTTTGAAAATCTGACCAGCATTTGAAAGTATCATACTGGGGCTACTTTCTTGCAATCTTATTTATCTATTTATTCATTTGGATTCGAAAAGATGGGCAAGTACAACCGTCTAGAAAAGAAAGAAAAAATCGGGTTTGAAAATCTTTTATAAACCTACGTAAGACTTTTTAAAAGTATGTGTACATTGCTGAAATGGAGGAAAGGAAAAAAAGATAGGGAGGGTGGAAGTGCAATAATTACCAGAGTAAAGATGGTTTATTTACTTCTCAGAGAGAGAGATGTTGTCCACTGTACAGAGATACTATATTGTGCCATTGCAAAGTACAGTTAATCTTGTCAAATGGGACTTTGCGAAACCATACAAAATGTTTCTGTACTCAAATATGCAGTAAGCAAGAAAAAAACGGGAGTCTGTGGCAAATAATAATTCAATTAGAAAGAACAAAAATTGTAATTCAAAAACTTTGGTTAAAAATATTTTGCAATATTAAAAAAAATGTAGAAATACAATTCTCATTTAACTCAGCTTCACATTGACTGTGGAGGTAGTTAGAACCCAATGACAAATGTAGTAATGCATTGACAAAAGAGAAGTTTGCAGGGTACTGACAGAAGTATTTAATGATTTGACATTAATAAAAATAGATAGTAGCAGACACAATAGGTGTCACACAGTAAGTTAGAATAAAACACAGACAAAAATGTAAGCATGAAAAGATAGTGAATGCACACCTTCCTACAATACTATAGTTACACCTCAAGTATGTTTTACTGTCCTAAATTAAAATTTTAATTTATTTGTTTTTAAGTATTTTAGTGAATGATTGCTCTTTAAGTGTGCTCTTTAAGAAGACAGAGCACAATAAAAATTCTGAATTTAAATTATGTTAAGTGATGTCCCTGGGCAGAACCTTTTCAGTTAAGCTGCCTTCATTATGAAGACATTCCTTTTGACCAGTACTGTCAGCTTTTTTGAAAATAATGAGAATTACAGTATATGAGAGGGAAACATTATGATCAAATAGGCATACTTTTTACAGTTTTTCCATTCATGCATAAGGACTAATAATTAATATGAATGTTAACATACTGTTCCTTATTCTTGAGGCCATTAACTAGCTTGCTTATATCCATGGCCTATAATTATCTGTGACCTTTCTATTGATGTTCATTTAACATTTGATAATACCCACTGAACCTGCCTTGAACATTACTCTGTAACTTCTGTTCATAATTTATTAAGATTCATATGAGCCATTTATAAATTGGAAAGAGTTGTTTGTAACTCT